CTCCACCTTCCGTACTTACTTTTGTTGCCAGCGGTTTAGACATTAATGGCTGTGAGTTGAGTTATTTTGAGGGGACAGCAAATTTACACTGTTATACAAGCTGTACACTCACTACTTTACATTGTAGCAAAGTGTAATTTCTTCAGTGCTGTCACATGAAAAGATATAATAAAATATTTACAAAAATGTGAGGGGTGTAATCACTTCTGTGAGATAGATAGAGATAGATATATATATATATATATATATATATATACAGTTGCAAGAAAAAGTATGTGAACCCCTTGGGATTACGTGGAGTTTTGCATGAATTGGGCATAAAATGTGCTCTGAACATCATCTAAGTCACAACAATAGAAGAACACAGTCTGCTGAACATAATACTACACAAACATTAGATGTTGCCATGGTTTAATTGCACATAACATGTAAACATTTACAGTGCAGGGAGGAAAAAGTATGTGAACCTTTGGACTTAATAACTGGTTGACCCTCCTTTGGCAGCAATAACCTCAACCAAACGTTTCCTGTAGTTGCAGATCAGACCTGCACAACGATCTGGAGTAATTTTGGACCACTCCTCTTCACAAAACTGTTTCAGTGTAACAATATTCTTGGGATGTCTGGTGTGAATCGCTCTCTTAAGGTCACGCCACAGCATTTCAATCAGGTTGAGGTCAGGACTCTGACTGGGCCACTCCAGAAGGCGTATTCTGTGCTGTTGCAGCCATTGTTTTGTTGAATTACTTGTATGCTTTGGGTCATTGTCCTGTTGCATCACCCATCCTCTGCAGAGCTTCAGTTGGCGGACAGATGGTCAAACGTTTTCCTGCAAAATGTCTTGATAAACTCTGGAATTCATTTTCCCATCAATGACAACAATCCGTCCAGGCCCTGAGGCAGCAAAGCTGCCCCAAACCATGATGCTCCCTCCGCCATGTTTTACAGTGGGGATGAGGTTTTGATGTTGGTGTGCTGTGCCTTTTTTTCTCCACACATAGTGTTGTGTGTTCTTCCCAAACAACTCAATCTTGGTTTCATCTGTCCACAGTATATTTTGCCAGTAGTGCTGTGGAACATCCAGGTGCTCTTTTGCAAACTTCAAACGTGCTGCAATATTCTTTTTGGACAGCAATGGCTTCCTTCGTGGTGTCCTCCCATGTACTCCATTCTTGTTTAATGTTTTCCTTATTGTAGATGTGTCCACAAAAATGTTAACATGTGCCAGAGATTTCTGTAGGTCTTTAGCTGACACTCTGGGATTCTTCTTTACCTCATGCAGCATTCTGTGCTGTGCTCTTGCAGTCATTTTTACAGGACGACCACGCCTAGGGAGAGTAGCAACAGTGCTAAACTTTATCCATTTGTAGACAGTCTGTCTTACCGTGGACACATGAACATCAAGGCTTTTGGAGATACTTTTGTAACCCTTTCCAGCTTCATGCAAGTCAACAATTCTTGATCGTAGGTCTTCTGAGAGCTCTTTTCTGCGAGGCATGGTTCACATCAGACAGTGCTTCTTGAAACCAGTAAACCCAAAACAGGTGTGTGTGTTTTTTAAGGGCAGGACAGCTGTCAGCAACACATCCAATATCATCACACTGATTGGAGTCAAGGTTGGCTCACTCCTGGCTCCAATTAGCTCTGGGAGAAGTCATTAAGCTAGGGCCTCACATACTTTTTCCTCCCTGCACTGTGAATGTTTACATGTTATGTGCAATTAAACCATGGCAACATCTAATGTTTGTGTAGTATTATGTTCAGCAGACTGCGTTCTTCTATTGTTGTGAGTTAGATGACGTTCAGAACACATTTTATGCCCAATTCATGCAAAACTCCACGTAACCTAAGGGGTTCACATACTTTTTCTTGCAACTGTATATATAGTGACAGTGTGGCGATCTGTCACGATGTTGAAGTTGAAAGGTTATTTCACACGGGATTCTCAACAAGGTAGGTTGAGGGGCTCCAGGGTAAGTGTTTGATACAGAGGAAAGTGGCTTTTCACTTTCCTCATTCGTTTGTAAGGTCCATTTTGGGACCTGGAGCCTGGAGATTTCAAAGCGATTTGGGAGGGATGAAATCTCCAATCCTGGGACCAGGTTTTGGGAATGGCCAGGATACTGATTGCTCAGGTGTGAATGGCTCTCTTCTAGAGTCAGGACCAGGGTTGTGGGCTCCACCCTGTTAGACAGGAGGGCTCCACCCTGGCAGATAGGAGGTCGCTGCCTTGGAGTCAGGAGGGCTTCACCAAGGAGAGGTGGAAGCCAGACTAGCTGTGTGCAGAAAAGCCATTTTGGAAAGAGTCTGTAGGAGACTGACATAAAACCTGTGTACAAGCCAGGAGGCTGAACATTCATTTGCATTTGTTTGATGGTGGATACCCCTGCGTGGAAAGATTTATGGAACTTTTTTTCTTTAAATAAAATTGGGCAAAAAGGCCCTTAAAAAGAAGCGAGTTGCTATGTGCTTTTGAAAAGAAAAGCTCTACCATTTGAGCGAGTTCCCACATATGGTGGCGGATGCAGCGAGCAGAATGGGAGATCCCTGAGATGAAGTAAGTTCATTTGTTATATGAACTGTGTTTGGTGCATAAGTCTGCACTATCTGTGTGTGCAGGTGAAAAGAACCTGCTAGAGAAAAGTACTTTGCCTTAAAGAGACAGTGTTCCATGGTGTTGCTGAACTGTGTAACACACTGCTTTGTGCGTGACTGCAAAGATGGGGCGGTCAAAACAGAAAAAGGAGGCAATTTTTGCTGAAGCGAGAGAGAGAGCCCTATGGCTAGGGGGTTATATACCGCATGCCCCAGCCAAGCCGGGAGATTTAAATGTGGGTGAATCTGCTGTGGACTGGTGCAAGCGGCACCTGGCAGCATTGAACCAACCTACAGAGGAAGGCAAGCCAACCTTCAGTGCAAGGAGAGAGCTGCAGGATGTCCGAACCTGGGAGAGGGGTGTGTCGCCCATGGCAATGCTGCTGCAGTTAAACCAGTAGCTGTTGTGAAAAATGTGAATGTGTTACGGCTTGAAAGAGGGTCCAGCAGAGAGAAGCCCATGCTATGTGCAAGGAGAGGGGCTGACTACAGGCCAGGACCGAGCGTGATTGCCCCTAGCAACGCAGAGGAGGCCAGTCGGGCTGCCTGTATGGGGTGCTATGTCGTACAAGGATCATGGCAAGTGGTATCAAGAGGAGCCAATACAGTGTGTTGGAAAGAGCCAGCAAAGTTCTGCTTGGAGAGTGCAATCTCCCATGGCGACCAGAGAAAAAATATTGCCTGAAAGGAGGAGCTGCATTGGAGACGTGGCTCAGTATCCCAATAAAGATAAGCGTGGAAATTTACCCTGCCTGGAATGTGCTCAGTGGGGGCATCGGATCTTTACCTGTCCCAGACTCTGGAATACTGCTGCTACGGGACAAATGTCTTCAACTGCAAGCCCAGATTTTTGTTTTAAAATGTTAGCAGCCACCTCTGGTAACAGGGAAGAAGTACCTGTTGGGCCTGCAGGGGGTGCCAGAGAGTCCATGGAGCCTATGAGGGCGTCTGTTACTTACTGCACCTTGGGGCAAGGGAAAAGTTGCCAAGGAAAGTGCAGTTGAGGATGCATTTATGAGACGACACACTCAAATGAAGATAGCGACACCTACTACTATGGTGGGTAAGACTGTGTGTGATAAAACCATGGCTGGGACTGCTAATGTCATGTTGAGAAGGACTGGTTATGAGACTGTCCATTCTGATGTAGGAGTGACCCCAGTTAGTTGGGCCACAGAATGTGCTCCTAAGAGTGACTTTTCCCTGTGCAGTGCCTTGTACAGTGGGGAGGTAGGAGTTAACGTAAAACCTGTACATGGTTCTCAAAAAGAAAGTGATGTCACTAATGTGTGCCAGTCACAGGTTGGTAGTGGGCTAGTACAACCCATTAGAGCTAAAAATGCTGATAATGTTGGTGATGATGAGAAATGTACTGCTGTTGGGAAAACCCTCAGCTCTGGAAGTGCAAAAGCTGTAATTAAAGATGGGTCATTTTCCATAGCAACTGGTTGGAAGACAGGAGGCTGAACATTCATTTGCTTTTGTTTGATGGTGGATACCCCTGCGTGGGAAGATTTTATGGAAATTTTTTTTCTTTAAATAAAATTGGGCAAAAAGGCCCTTAAAAAGAAGTGAGTTGCTGTGTGCTTTTGAAAAGAAAAGCTCTGCCATTTGAAGAGTTCCCACAATATATACAGTTAAGTCCATATATATTTGGACACAGACACAATTTTCATACTGTTGGCTCTGTATGCTACCAAAATAAATGAAAACAAAATGATTCAAATGAATTTGAAGTGCAGACTTTCAGCTTTAATTCAAGGGGTTGAAAATAAATAGCTAGTACAAATTGTAGGAATTGCAACCATTTTTATACATATTCCCTCCATTTTCAGGAGCTCAAAAGTAATTGGACAAATTAATATAATCATAAAAATTTAAAAGTGTGTGTGTGTGTGTGTAATTTGTATTCTCACGTTATTGACCAGGACAACATATGACTGGTCTAGATGTATTTTTACACAGCAAAAGGATAGCCAAGGACTGTTTGCTGTGTTAATTTTATGCAACATCACCTTGGCACTCAGGAGCCAACTTGGTACATTTCAAAGGAGGTAATTTGCAAACTTGCAAGGGTGACAAAGTACAGATTACTCAGTCAGACTTGAAAAGACTTGGCCAGCATCTACTATCTAATAACATGAAAAGGGGTATTAAGTATAGTAAATAGCATTCATATTTATCTTTACTGAGTGGTCGCACAGGCAGCGGGGTCGGCATGCTCCTGTCACCGCTGAGCACCTTCCAGGTCCTCCCTAACCCCCCCTCCCTAACCTTCTCCTCCTTTGAGGCCCACTGCATCCCGCTCTTTTTTCTCCCACCCCCCTGAGGATTGCAGTAATCTATCGGCCTCCTGGATCCATATCCCTCTTCCTGGACGACTTTGCCGCCTGGCTTCCCTTCTTCCTTTCCTCTGAGCTACCGACCATCATCCTCGGGGATTTCAACATCCCCATCAATGCCAACAACCCGGCTACTTCCCAACTCCTCCTCCTAACCTCCTCCTTCGCACTCACACACAGCACACACAGTCCTCCACCCACACCAATGGAAACACCCTGGACCTCGTTTTCTCCCACCTCTGCACCGCCCACGACCTCACTAACACCCCCTTCCCCCTCTATGACCACCACCTCCTCACATTCTCCATCTCCCCCCTCCTCTAACTCCCCCCCCCCCCAAAGCGTCAAACCATCACCAGCCGTAACCTCCGCAACCTGAACCCGGCCCATCTCCACCCAGCAGCTGACTGTCTGTACGATAGTATCCTTCCTCTGTCATGCCCTGACCTGGCCACTACTGCGTACAACGGCTCACTGTCGGCTGTCCTGGACTCCCTGGCACCCCTAACCACGCGTAACGTCAGACCCTGACCGCTTCTACCCTGGCAGAACAACCACACAAAATGTCTCAAACGACGCAGTCGCGTGCTTGAAGCGATTATGGCGCAAAACCAGATCCCCCTCGTGCGTTCTCCCTCTACAAAGCCGCCTTCCTCACCTACACCACCTCTCTCCACGCCGCCAAGCAAGCCTATTTCGTTAACCTCATCAACACCCTCTCCACCTGTCCTCACCGACTCTTCTCTACTTTAAAATCCCTGCTCTCCCCCCCCCCCCCCCACCTCCACTCAGTACCTCACTCACCGCCCACAAGATTGACGCAATCTGTAAGGACACTGTCAACTCACAATCTACCTCTCCACCTTGCCCCCCCCCCCCATCACCCCCTCAACTCTCCCCTCCTCTGACCTCATACCCAGACTGCCCCCACCATACCTAACACCCCACACACTATCACCTCCCCATCGCTCTGCTCCTTCAGCCCAGCTACCACTGAAGAGGTCACTAAGGTCTTCACTGAAACCCGCCTCACCACTTGCCCCCTGGACCCTATCCCCTCACAGCTCCTCCATTCACCCCCCCTCCTCAATCATTCGCTCCCTCACCTACATCTTCAATCTCTCCCTCTCCACTGGCACATTCCCCTCCCCCCTAAAGCACGCACACATCACCCCCATACTCAAAAAACCCTCCCTTGACCCCACTTACCCAAACAACCTTAGACCCATCTCCCTGCTACCATTCACTTCCAAGCTCCTTGAGCGCTTGGCCTACGATCGCCTAAGCGCCCACCTTACTGATAACAACCTCCTTGATCCACTACAGTCAGGCTTCTGTCCCCTACACTCCACCTAAACCGCCCTACTTAAAATCACTAAAGACCTGCTAACCGCCAAAGCTAATGGCATTACTCAGTCCTCCTGCTCCTTGACCTCTCTGCGGCCTTCGACACAGTCGACCACCCCCTCCTCCTTACAAAACTGCACTCCCTCGGCATCAGGGACGCTGCTCTCTCCTGGTTCTCCTCCTACCTATCCCAACGCTCCTTCAGCGTCACCTATAACACTGCCACCTCCCCCTCTCTCCCCATCTCTGTTGGAGTCCCCCAAGGCTCTGTCCTCGGACCCCTCCTTTTCTCCATCTACACCTCCTCCCTTGGCAAAACTGATACACTCCCACGGCTTATCACCTCTATGCCGATGACACACAAATTTACCTCTCCACCCCCCACCTCACCCCCTCACTCTCTGCCCGCATCGCCCACCTCCTGAACGACATATCAGACTGGATGTCGCGCCATTTCAAGTTAAACTTGTCCAAAACCGAGCTCCTGGTTTTCCCCCCCCCCCAGCCCATGGCCCCCCCCATCCTCTCCATCACTACTAGCAACGCCACCATCAATCCCACCCACACGCCAAAGTACTGGGTGTCACCCTGGACTCAAACCTTTCCTTCCAACCTCATGTCCATTCACGATCAAGGTCATGCAGGCTCCACCTCCGCAACATCTCCAAGATACGTACATTCCTCACCCCAGACACTACTAAACAACTCGTACACTCCCTCATCATCTCACGCCTGGACCACTGCAACTCCCTTCTCACTGGCCTACCGAAACAAATGCTATTCCCACTCCAGTCTATCCTGAACTCAGCAGCTAGACTCATCCACCTCACCAACCGCTCCACATCTGCCACCCCCCTCTGCCAATCCCTTCACTGGCTCCTGATTGCCCAGCGCATCAAATTCAAATTACTTACTCTGACCTACAAAGCCATTCACAATGCTGCCCCAAACTACCTAACTGACCTGATACCCAAATACCACCCTACCCGTGCCCTTCGCTCCTCACAGGACCACCTAATCTCTAGCTCCCTGGTCTTCTCCTCCCACGCCCGACTGCAGGACTCCTCCAGGACTTCCCCCATCCTCTAGAACTCCCTACCCCAATCCATCAGACTGTCACCTTCAGGTGCACCCTGAAAACCCTCCTCTTCAGGGAAGACTACCCCACCCTCACCTAACAACCAATCTCCTCCACTTCTCCCACCACTCCATCCCCCACAGCCACTTCCTCCTGTACCACTTCCCCTCCCTCCTAGATTGTAAGCTCGAAAGAGCAGGGCCCTCGAACCCCTCGTGTATTGTATTGTTACTGTTTTGTCTCATGTTCTGCCCCCCTTGCTATTTGTACAGCACTGAGCAAACCCTTTGGCGCTATATAAATACTGTATAATAATAATAATCTAATTATTGGTATAAGAATGCAGTTTAGGAAATATCTGTTAAACTCTGATTAGAATTTATTCTGCAGCTGTTCAAGCCCAAAAGGCATTACCTCTCACCCAGAAGATCAAAGGGGCTACTAAAACTGGCTAGAGTGCTTGTCATTTTACTGAATGGGAAAATGTGTATATTAGGGAAGGTTCTTTTGATAGAGTGTGACAGGAGAAAGTGGGTCCTCTGAAGGTGTCTGATTATTGCATGTATATTTTAAGTACCCTGTCATCTGCCTTGTCTGTACCACTGTTTTATGGATTGTTTCTGAGCTTATTAAATGCATCTCTCTGGAAAAGTACTGTTGGACTAGTTGCTGTGGGATAATACATTTATGAATACACTCATCGACATTTGTATATTGTGTATATTATACACAATTGTATATTGTGTCCTCACTGCTTCCTTCACCCATCTACAGCACCCACCACCTCCTCCTCCTAATACTCCACTCTCCCACTGACCCGAACACCTCCACTAGTAGTTTCACACGCTCCTGCACATCCCTCTCCCATGCCACCTTTCTCACCCTTCTCCTCCTCCTAACCGCGGGGGACATCTCCCCGAATCCTGGCCCTCCCACCACCTCCCTCACCCCACACAAACAACACCCTCCCGTCTCCACGTCCTGCCCCAACCCCCGTAACTTAATATCTATTCCCCTGCTCCCTAAAATCACCCCCCCCCCCGTTTTCATGTGCACTCCTGAACGCCCGATCCATGTGCAACAAGCTTACCGCCATCCACGACCTCTTTGTTTCCCGCTCCCTCAACCTCCTAGCGATCATGGAAACCTGGATCCAGGCCACTGACTCTACCTCCCCTGCTGCGCTCTCCTACGGAGGTCTCACCTGGACCCACTCACCCAGACCCAATGGTCGTAAAGGTGGTGGGGTTGGTCTGCTCCTGTCGCCGCAGCACCTTCCGAGTGCTCCCAAACCCCCCATCTCTATCCTTCTCCTCCTTCGAGGCCCACTGCGTCCGACTTTTCTCCCCAACCCCCCTGAAGATTGCTGTGATATACCGGCCTCCTGGATCCATATCCTGCTTCCTGGATGACTTTTCCTCCTGGCTACCCTTCTTCCTCTTCTCTGAGCTACCCACCATCATCTTTGGGGATTTCAACATCCCTGTCAACCTCGACAACCCGGCCACATCCCATCTCCTCCACTTAACCTCCTCCTTTGCACTTGCACAGTGGATACAATCCACCACCCACTCCGACGGTAATATCCTTGATCTCGTCTTCTCCAACCGCTGCGCTCCCCACAACCTCACTAACAAACCCTTCCCTCTCTCTGACCACAACCTGATTATTTTCTCTATCTCCTCGTCCTCCAACGCCTACCTCTCCAAATGTCACACTACTACCAGCCGTAACCTCCGCAACCTTAACCCTGCCCCCTCCACTCTGCAGCTGATCAACTTCACGACAGCATCCTCCCCCTGTCCTGCCCCGACTTGGCTATGACTGCCTATAACAACGCGCTGTCAACAGCCCTTGACTCACTAGTGCCTTTAACCACACGCAACATCAGACCTTGACCGCTCCAGCCCTGGCAGACTGATCACACCAAAACCCTCAAACGACACAGTCGTGCCCTTGAGTGACTGTGGCGCAAAACCAAATCCCAACAAGCCTTCATCCGCTATAAATTCGCCTTCCACACCTACACCTCCTCCCTCCATGCAGCCAAACAAGCCTACTTCCTGACCCTCATCAAGGCCCTCTCCTCCAATCCTCGCCGACTCTTCTCCACCTTCAACTCTCTACTCTCTCCACCCCCACCTCCACCCAGCACCTCACTCACCGCCCTTGAGATTGCCAATCACTTCAAAAACAAGATTGACACAATTCGCAAGGACATCGCCGCAACTTACACTCCCTCTCAACCCGTCCCCTCTCACACAGCTACCCCCTCATCCCCCCTCTTCCTCGACATAACCTGCAGGGACTTCGTCACTGCTCAAACTCCCTCCAACCCCGTTCCCCCTCTCCCACGGCCCCGCCACTGCTCTGACCTCCACTTCCACCCCACCCTACATTCCTCATACTGAAGCCCCCTCAACACTCCGCACCTTTGACCTTACTACCATCGAGGAAGTCTCCAAGGTCCTCTCTGATGCCCGCCTCCCCACCTGCCCCCTCGACCCTATCCCCTCACAACTCCTACAACCTACCTCCTCCTCCATCCTATGCTCCCTCACCCACATCTTTAATCTCTCCCTCTCCTCCAGCACTTTCCCCTCCCCTCTGAAGCATGCACACATCACCCCCATACTTAAAAAGCCCTCCCTGGACCCCAATGACCCGATCAACCTCAGACCCATCTTCCTGCTCCCATTCACATCCAAACTCCTTGAGTGCCTAGTCTACACCCGCCTAAGCTCTCACCTCAATGACAACAACCTCCTCGATCCCCTACAGTCCAGCTTCCGTCCCCTACACTCCACCGAAACTGCCTTACTCAAACTCTCCAATGACCTGCTAACCGCCAAAGCTAATGGCCACTCTTCAGTGCTCCTACTCCTTGACCTCTCCGTGGCCTTCGACACAGTCGACCACTCCCTCCTCCTCAAAAAACTACACTCCCTCGGCCTCAGAGATTCTGCTCTCTCCAGGCTCTCATCCTACTTGTCACAACGCTCTTTCAGCGTTACCTATAATGCTACCACCTCCCCCTCACTCCCCCTCTCTGTTGGGGTCCCTCAAGGCTCCGTCCTCGGGGCCCTTCTCTTCTCCTTCTACACCTCCTCCCTTGGCCAACTCATACACTCTCACGGCTTCAACTACCACCTATATGCCGACGACACACAAATCTATCTCTCAACCCCCCACCTCACCCCCTCAGGTCTCTGCCCAAATCACACACCTACTGAGCAACATATCAAACTGGATGTCGCTCCACTTCCTTAAACTGAACCTCTTCAAAACCGAGTTTCTTGTCTTCCCCCCAGCCCGGACCCCACCCCCACTGACTTCTCCATCACGTCCAACAATGTCACCGCCAAACCCGCCTCGCAGGCCAGAGTACTTGGTGTCATTCTGGACTCCAACCTATCCTTCTAGCCCCAAGTCCAATCTTTAACAAACTCGTGCAGATTCCACCTCCACAACATCGCCAAAATACACACATTCCTAACCCCAGAAACCACTAAACAGCTCATCCACTCCCTCATCATATCACGACTCGATTACTGCAACTCCCTCCTTACTGGCCTGCCTCGCCGCTGGCTATCCCCGCTTCAGTTGATTCTGAATACGGCTGCCAGACTCATTCACCTTTCCAACCGCTCCGTTTACGCCACCCCCCTCTGCCAATCCCTTCACTGGCTTCCGATTGCGCAACGGATCAAATTCAAAATCCTAACACTGACGTACAAAGCCGTCCACCATACTGCCCCGAACTACATCTCCGACCTAACATCCAAGTACCACCCAGCACGCACACTTCGCTCCTCACAAGACCTCCTTCTCTCTAGTTCCCTGGTCTCCTCCTCCCATGCCCACCTCCAGGACTTCTCCAGGGTGTCACCCATCCTCTGGAGCTCCCTGCCCCAACCCATCAGATTATCACCTACTCTCCTCTCCTTTAGGTGCACCCTGAAAACCCACCTCTTCAGGGAAGCCTACCCCACCCCCTGTTAACTTGCCGACCTCCTCCATTCTTCAGTTTTGCATTGTATTGTTATTGTTCTGTCACATGTTCTGTCCCCCTTTAGTAATGTACAGCGCTGAGTGAACTATTGGCGCTTTATAAATACTGAATAATAATAATAATTCCTAATTGATATTAGACACCATCCATCCACAGTACATTGCGAGCGGAAGGTCTTTAGGTGGTTAAAGGAGAAGAAAAAAAAAAACTTATAATGTGGTTGCACAGATATGCACACCCTTAAACTACCTTGTTGAAGCACCTTTTGATTGTATAACAGCACTCAGTCTTTTGGGGTAGAAGAATATCAGTATGACACACCTTGTCTTGGGAATCTTTGCCCACTCTTTTATGCAAAGGTGTTCCACATCTGTCAGATTGTGATGACAACGCCTGTGCACAGGCCTCTTCAGGTCACCTCACTGATTTTCAATTGGATTCCGGTCTGGGCTCTGGCTGAGCCATTCCAAAACTTTGATCTTCTGGTTAAGCCATTTCTTTGTTGATTTTGTAGATATGCTTTGGGTTGTTGTCGCACTGAAAGGTAAAATTCCTCCATCTTCAGATTTTTAGTAGCAGCCTGATGACTTTGTGCCAAAATTGATTGATATTTGGAATTGTTCGTGTCCTTCCACTTTGACTAAAACCCCCAGATCCAGCTGAAGAACAATAACCCCAAAGCATAATGCTGCCACCACCATGCTTCACTGTGGATATGGTATTTTTTGGTGATGCACAGTGTTGGTTTTGCGCCAAACATACTTTTTGGAATTAATACAAAAAAATTCACTCTTGATCTAATCAGACCATAACACACATGTTTCTGGCCGACTTGATGTAGGTTTTTTCAAAATGTGGCCAGACTTGGATGTTTTTTTTATTAAGAAAAGGCTTCCATCTTGCCACCCTACCCCACAGACTAGACATATGAACAATACAGAAGATTGTTGTCACACAATTGTTGTCTCTCTGGCACCCCTAACCACACGCAACATCAAACCTAGACCGCTCCAACCATGGCAGAATGACCATACTAAATGCCTCAAACGTCGCAGTCATGCGCAGGAGAGACTATGGCGCAAAACCAGGTCCCCTCGTGCGTTCTCCCTCTACAAATCTGCCTTCCTCACCTACACCTTCTCCCGCCAAGCAGGCCTACTTCGTTAACCTGATCAACACCCTCTCCACCTGCCCTCGCCGACTCTTCTCCACCTTCAACTTCCTGCTCTCTCCCCCCCCTCCACTCAGAACCTCACTTACCGCCCACGAGATTGCCACTCATTTCCACAACAAGATTGATGCAATCCGTAAGGACATAGTCAACTCGCAATCTACCTCCCCACCTAGCCTCCCCCCCCCCCATCACCCCCCCATCTCTGACCTCGCAACCGCACTGCCCCCCCCACCACACCCAAGGCCCCGCTTACCGTAACCCCCCCAGCACTGCACTCCTTCAGCCCTACTACCACTGAGGAAGTCACCAGAGTCTTCTCGGAAGCCCGCCTCACTACCTTCCCCCTGGACCCTATCCCCTCTCAACTCCTCCGGTCACCCCCCTCTTCCCTCATACGCTCCCTCACCCACATCTTCAATCTCTATCTCTCTACCGGCGTATTCCCCTCCCCCCTAAAGCATGCTCTCATCACCCCCATACTCAAAAAGCCCTCCCTGGACCCCACTGACCCAAACAACCTCAGACCCATCTCCCTGCTGCCACTCACTTCCAAGCTCCTTGAGCGCTTAGTCTACGATTGCCTAAGCACCCACCTAACTGACAACAACCTCCTTGATCCACTACAGTCCGGCTTCCGTCCCCTACACTCCACCGAAACCGCCCTCCTCAAAATCACCAACGACCTCCTAACCGCCAAAGCCAAAGGCGACTA